ACACAAGGGATATTTATTCTATCATACAGACACTGTCTCAACCGTGTTCACTGTTGCTCTATTCATAATATCCAGAAACTAGAAACAACTTAGATATACCTCAACAGATGAGTGGATAAAAAGTGGTTCATTTATACAATGGAATATTACTAATCCATTTAAAAAATGAAATCATAAAAATGAAATTCATGAAATTCACAGGCAAATGGACAGAACTAGAAAAAAATCATCCTGAGTAAGGTAACCCAGACCCAAAAGATAAATATGACATGTATTCACTTACATGAGGATGTTAGCTGTTGAAGTCAATGATAACCAAGCCACAATTTGTAGGACTACAGAGGTTAGATGCAAAGTAAGAGACTAGGGGAGGATACATAGATCTCTCTAGGAAAGGGAAATGGAATAGATATGGATGGAGAGAGATCTAGAAAGAGAGGATCAAGTGGAGAGAGGGAGGGAAGAATGAGAGATGGAAGGGAATGCAGGGAGAAACAGTCAAAATTAGCAGCCATTTGGCAGGTAGTATGGAAACATGACACAGCTGAAGCTTCTTAAAATATATACATATATAAAGAAATCTAAATGAAATTGCCAAATAATGGGAAAAAGAGTTCAAACTGGGCATCTCTTGTTACCAAATGAAGCTTCCAGTACCGGGATTAGGTTACATCAAATAAAGTTGTTGGCCAAAGGGGTCTCATTGGAATACCCAAACAATCCAGGCTACTGCCAAAACTATAGGTTGCTTTCCAAAAACTGACATCAAGGTCCCACTGCTGAAGATGAAATTTACACAACTCACTGAGCATGAAGGCTAGCTGGTGCCCACATAGAGCCATCACCCCTGCCTACTAGTGTCTTTGTTACAGGAAGGAACTCTGCATGTTACCAAAAGAGAACCATAAATACCAAACTGGCAAGATATACTAGCTCAATAGTGGCACAGAGCTTGTGGGAGCAACCAATATCTGACTTGACTTAAGACCCACTCCATAAGATGGAACCCATACCCGATACTGCTTGGATGACTAAGAACCTATGACTAGATACCCCAGGGACCTAGGGGAAAACCAAATACTACTGTTCTGCTAAAGGAATATAGCAATAAAATAACTCCTCCTAATGACATTCTGTTATACTCATAGATCAGTGCCTTGCTCAGCCATCAGCAGGGAAAATCAAGATTCCTCCTGCAACAGACGGGAACAAATTTAGTGGCCCACAGCCAGATATTAGGCAGAGCGTGAGAGACCTTGAAATACTCAGCTCTAAATGGGATGTCTCCATGAACTCACTTCCCTCAGGGCTCAGGAAACCCTGAGGAAGAGGAGGTAGAAAGAGTGTAAAAACCAGAGGGGATGGAGGACACAAAGAAAACAAGGCCCTCTGAATCAACATGATCAATACACATATGAACTCACAGAAACTGAGGCAGCATGCACAGGGCCTGTACAGGTCTGCACCAGATGGGGTCCTAGAACTGAAAAGAGAAATGAACACATGCCCCCATGCCTAACCCAGAAGCTTTCTTGAATTAAAAACCACCTGCAAATGACAAATTAGTTTTCTCTAAGGGAGTCTCACTGGGAAAGACTAAACCATCTGTAGTGGCCCAAGCCTGAAATCTCAATACTTAAAAAGTTGGTGCAGGCAGATCTGTATTTCAAGGGAAGAGGGAAGCCTGAGCTACATAAATAAGATCCTGTCTCCAATAACTAGAAAGAGCCTGTTTTGTTGGTGTACACCTTTAATCCCAGTACTCTGGAGGCCAAAGCAGTTGGATCTCTTTGAGTTCCAGGCCAGACTGGTCTATAAATCAAGTTCCAGGGCAGGCAGGGATACATAGTGAGACTGTCCAAAATGAAAGAGGGTGCTAAAGCGGGTGCAGAGAAGAGAAAAAGAGAAAATGTATCAGAAAGAAACAGAACACACCAACATGATTAAACATAGGATTACCATATGATTTAGAAAATTCTATTCTTACATTAGTATGGAAACTTGGAGTTCGTGTACCTAAAACAAACAGAAACTTAAGTTCATGCAAAACTTATATAATGATATTCGTAGCATTACTGAAATCAACCAAAAAAATCTTGTAGTTGTAGAGATGGCTCAGCACATAAAGTGCCTGCCACACAAGCCTAAGTACCTGAGTTTAATCCCTAGAATTCACTTAAAGGTGGAAGGGTAGAACTGATTCCACAAAACTTTTCTCAGGCCCACACACATGCAACAACAAACAAAAATCCTGTTTATCATGCTAAGTGTGGTAGCACATGCCTTTAATCCTAGTGCCTCCATGACCTCAAGGACAACAAGGGCCACATAGCAAATTCCAAGCCAGCCAAAACTACTTAGTAAGTCCATTAAAAAAATAAAAACAATGAAAGTTTGCATATCCAAACCATTATTTGGGCATGCCAAATAAAGTGATATTTACATGTGCCATAATATGAATAAATCATGAAAAATAATGAAATAGTCAAAAAAGAGATGATATATTGACAGGTGTGGTAGCACATGCCTTATAATTCCAGGAGGTAGAGAGATAAAAAGAATCATTTCAAAGATAGACTAGGCTACACGAGAGTTTTTCAGGCCAGCCAGCCTGGGTTACGAGACCATATATCACACAATCCCATTCATATTAAATGCCCAGAATAGGCACATAAGTTAGTGGTTGCTTAGGGGTGGTCAGAAGGGAAAGGGTATAGAAAGAAGGCAGCCAAAAAGTAGCAGTTTTCTTTTTTAGGCAAAATTGAATGTGGCAATGGTGGCACATATCACTGAATATATAAGATCCACTAACATTTCCTTTTAAAAGGATGGATTACATGGTACATAAATTCTCAAAAAATGTTTAAGAAGCAAATGAACACAGGGTATTGGTGAATGCCAGGATTAATTACTTGAAATAAGGACTCTATGCTGAGGGGTGCTGAGAAAGTGCTTTATGCCTCAATTTCTACTATCTTAAATATTAATGAAATAACTCCCAATTTATACTAAATTTATGGACTGAAGATTTAGTATAGTGGTACAATGCTTGCCAAGCTTGTGAACTGCCCTGGGTTTGATCCCCAGAAGTGCAAAGTGATTTATAAATTTTTCAGTAGAAATTATCTAGGACAGTGGTAGTAATATAATGAACTATACAGTTTAAATATTAAATAAAATCCCCTGATTTTAAGAATAATTTTTACACCTAAGGTGTTCCCCACCATTAATAGTATTCTATTCATTATTAGTATGTATCTGCACAAATCAACATTTATTGTGTCCTTAGAGCCTACCAGGTCTTATTTCATAAGTACCTGACACAAATAAATAAATAAACAAACAAACAAACAGCCTTAATGGCTTTCCTTCATCAGTATTGGGACTTAATTTTCTCATCAGCAAAATTAGAAGGGCTAGATATAATATTATTTAAAACAGCATGTTCAATGAAATTTTTACTCGTCTATGTTGTCAATCGGTACCAGCCACACTTGGCTAATACCTGAAGTGTGGCTTATACAACTAAGAAATTAATTTTTTTTATTTTAATAGCCACATAAAGCTGGTGGATTTTGTTCTAGAGTATAATGCAGAAAAAAAATAAATTTTATAGTCCATCCCAGTAATCACATACATGTGGGAATATGTGTATACATATACAAACAAAAGTTCACAAAATAATTCTTACTTAATATACAAAAAGGACTAGAGTTTCTTTTCTATATTTCTTAATTTCATCTAAAAGACCTGCTGATATAACCACTAACATTTCATAACACAATAGACTCCTTTTTGCTCTAAAATATTATGCTGTATACTAATAACAAATATTTGGGATGATAACTATACCAATTACTCTAATTTGGTCACTTATATACATGTATCAAATATTATACCACATTCCATAAATATGCACAATTATTTATCAATTTAAAATATTTTTAATTTTAAAATTGTTCAATCCTTGTCACCTTATGCATGTCATCTCAGCACTCAATAGGCTGAAGTAGGAAGATCACAAGTTCAAAGCCAAACTGGACTACAAAGCAAGATCTTGTCTTTTAAAAAACCAAAACATACAATCCTTTAAGGCATAACTGTATGCTTCTCTTGGCCTCTATTATCTAAACACTGTTTATGATTATCTAAACACTATTTATAATTACAATAGTAGACATCAGATATTTGTTGACAAAGAATCATAATTTAAGAAATTGCTTTCCAAACAAAAATGACAGTATGTTAAGGTTACACTGATGAACATGTGGTGGCAATTAAAATGTCAGTATATGAGAAATAAAAATATAAACTGAAGTACAAATACGAATGGCTATTTTTAAAAAACTATTCTAGAATAAGATAATGAAAACTAATATTCCGAAGTACCATAACCACTGCCACACTCCTAAGGAAAAAGTCTTAAGGCTTTCCAACATTACCTGTACACAAAGAACATAACTGAATAGTCATAGCAAAAGTTAGCCAAGTTTATATCTTAGAGCAGTGTACATTTTGGTGAAAAAGATAATTATGTGGGGGTTTTTTTTTCCCCCTATCAGGGAGCACGCCTGACAGCGACGGAGTTAGCATACCAATTCAATTTGTTACTTGTTTATAGGTGGCGTGCTTGAAGTGAACTCAAAATTCTTACTTCCAATTTCGTACAATCTGAACCACAGGCACTTTAGCACCAAATTCCTGGCCTAACTTTTAAAAGTAGTCCCGTCTTTCTTACACTTAAAAAACGACCGGCAAATTCCTACGAGACACTGGCACTCAGGTGCCCTACCACCCGGCTCTCGGCTGTCCCCCAAATGTTTTCTTCTTTTCCTTGAATTACCAACCCTAGCTTCCTCCACTGGCTCGCTGCTCCTCTGCCTTCGCCCTCGCAACCTTTCTTCTAGGCGCTCTCTCTGACCTAAGGTCACCAGGGCAACCCTCTCCCTATTGGGTTCCCTCGCCCTTCACCCTACTCTTCCAAGCGCGTGGCAACACACCTGGCGTATCCGAGCGCTTCCTGTCACGCCGCGCTGCTGCGGCTTCCACCGCAGGCCTGAGCCACACACGGAGACTAGAGGCCTGGTCACAACTGCCGAATGTTTGTGCTTTTCGAAAGCAGCCGCCGCGGCTGCCCAGCGCCAAGAATGTATTACGAGCAGCGCCATCTTGAGCGAGGAAAGAGGAACCGAGAGAGGAGGATTGTGGGACACTGGCGGACTGAGCTGGGTGGCTTTCAGTGCCTCTCCCCTCCCCCACTCGTGTCTGACACCGGAAACAGCTTGTGTCTGAAGATGCCTAAGCTTAGGGTATAGCTTTTTTTTCTCTCTCTCTCTCTTTTTTTCTTTTTCCTTTGGGACTGGGCTTTGTTGGTTTTTTGCTGTTGTTGTTGTTTTTACACAGCCCAGAACATTGGAATACGCTTGTCTTTCTTGCCATTGCCAGATAAAATACAGGATTGCCCACTTAAATGTAATTTCAGATGACAAATTATTTATTGGTGTAATTATGTTCCAGGTATTGTTTTGGTAAATGTGGCAACCCTATCTTGTTTGTCACTCCATTTCATTTCTTGTCTACAACTCAAAGCACGCTCCACTCCCGGCATACCTCTGATTTTTCCATGTGCATTGATGTTTAGGGTAAAGTACAAGATATAAGTTTCCCCCTGGAGGACACTTCTTCAGTGAGAGTGGCCACATTTCTTGCAAATGCTTTTATTTTTCTAATATGACTTTGGTCTTTTGCTGTTGGAACAATTGGGCACTCGGAGTACATACATTTAAAAAAAAATAATCCATTAATTTGACTCCTTGTAGCTCTTCCCTTTGGTTTCTTCAGAGTCCCTAATTGAAAAACGGCTAGATAAGCTGATAGATGATAAGCAAACATGTTATATAGTAAAGTGCATATTTAAAGACACATTTGTATTATTTTGTCAGCACTATAATCAAACCAAATGCCATGGAAATGTGTTTACAGGTTTCTGGGCAACAATTTCCAAATATAAATGTTACTTGAAAACCTGGAGTCAAGAAGGCAGTTGCACTTCATTAATACATTCTCAGCTCTTTCTCTCTGAGACAGAGTCTCATTACAAAGCCCTGGATACCCTGGAACTTGATATGTAGACCAGGCTGGTCTTAATTCCGATGTCTGCCTGTCATTGCCTCTGGGGTGCTGGAATTAAAGGCATGCACAACCACACCAGGCTCTTTTTCAAACCTTTTACACAAGGCAGGCAAGTAATTATGAATTAATTCTGCAGGAGCATTATTCACTAATGAGATATGTCATGAAGAAAGACAAAACATATGTATGATTCATGCAGCTTGCTTTACTTTGCTCTGAGACCCATATCACACACCAGGTTTCTGGGGAAGAAAATAATTAGAGTTTCAGATTGAAGAGGTTGACCCCATGTAAAGAAGATGGCAACGTTGAAATCAAGAAAGCGTAAGAAAACTTTCAGGCTCAGGAGTCCAGAAAGTATATGACAAAATAATAGAAAAGGAAGCACAGTGAACGGCTTGATGGCAAGAGGCCTTCCATTACATTTTTAAGAAATTAATGCAGTATGCTGCAGCCATTGAAGGGCTTAATTGGGAGAGTAAAAAGATCAGACTTGTATAACCCTTAAACTACTCTGGCTTAAGTGGAAATGCTGGATTAGAAAAAGGTTCAGATTGAAGTCACAACCACTCCCTCTCTCCATGCTGGCGTTTTGTCTGACTAGATCTTGCACAGGACTTGTGCATGCTGTCCCAACCACTGCACTATTATATGTGCAACTGCCCTGTTGTGTCCAGAAGACATTGTTTCATTGTAGTCATCTGTCGTCACCTTTGACTCTTAAATTCTTTCCTCTTTCACAATGATCCCTGAGGTCATGGAGGAATGTATGTGATAGAGATTGTCCCATCCCATACAGGACTGCTTACTCCACAGTCTCTCTCTCTCTCTCTCTCTCTCTCTCTCTCTCTCTCTCTCTCTCTCTCTCTCTCCCTCTCTCTTCTCCCCTCTCTCTTCCCTCTCTCCTCTCTTTTCTTGCCCCTCCCCCTCTCTCCTCTCTCTCCCCTCTCTCCTCTCTCTCCTTTCTTTTCCCCCCTCTCTCTTCTCTTGCCTCTCTCCCATCTCTCTCCTCTCTCTCCACCCTCTCTCTCCTCCCTCTCTTCTCTCTCCTCTCTTCTCCCCCTCATCAGGTATCTGAGGGAGCCAGAAGAGGGTCCTGGAGCTGGAGTTACAAGTAGTTGTTAGCCTCCTGATATGGGTGCTGGGAATCAAACCTAGGTCCTTTGAGCAATAAAAACTCTTAACTACTGAACCAGCTCTTCAACCCGTTTTGAGGTCTTTAAATGGAGTGAGTATATTTTACAGTCATGTGCATTTTAAGCAAGTTTTTGTGAATGAAAAAATAAAATGTAAGTAACCTTGGAATATTCAAGTAGCTACTTTCTAATGAGATAAAGAAATGCAAATATTTATTGACCTAATAAACCAAACATAATTTCCATAGTACCTGGGAGTAGAACATAAAATAAGAGGTGTACATTAATGGAGAAAGAACACTGAAACAAACAGGCCAACTTGGTCTGCAGCATCTTGACACATTTATATAAGCATTTTGCAACTTCTAAAATGCTTTTTTCATCTGTTATCTAATTTTCACATCAACCCTGGAAAATGGGTCTTATTTATTAACAGTTTTATCCCATATTTATGAGGAAACAGGTTGCGACTTGACAGAGGTTGCAGAGCTAATGGGAACAGAGACCACACCAGGATTTAATGAGTCCCAAGTATGGTGCTCTTTTCTTTTATTAGTCCTAAATTTAAAGAAAAAACTGTGTATTTTGAGAAGACCACCATGATCTTTTTATTTCTTGAAAATGCCAGAAGTTATTTTCACTTCAGGGCTTTTGTACTTGCTTTCCTCTCTGCCTGGAACATCTCTCCTGCAGATTTGTTAATGACTTTTTCTTGCCCTTCAGGTCTCAGCTCAAATGTCATCTGCTTAAAAAAAGCTTCCTAAGAGTACCTTATCTACCCCCCACCACCACTGCCTCTCCGCATTGCCCTGTTTCCATTAAAATCTTCCTATTCAAGCTGGGCTTGGTGGCACAGGCCTGCAATCCCAACTACTCACTAGGCTACTGCAAGAAGATTAAAAGTTTAAGGCCTGCTGGGAAATTCTTTATAATATTTTTATTAATTCTATGAGAATTCCATACAATGTGTTGAGTTCATATTCATCCCTGTCTCTTTCCAGGTTCACTCCTACTTCATGTTCTTATTTTTTTTAATTGAAAATAGATTTTTCTCTCATACAATACATGTCAACCACACTTTCACCTCCTTCCACTCCTCCCAGCTTCCCATCACCTACCGTGTCCCCCAGATTCACTCCCTATCCAATTCCATTCAAAAAGGAGGAGACCTCCAAGAGACAACAATCAGATACAAGTAAAATACAATAAGAACAAGACAAAAAACTTCATATTGAGGCTGGATGAGGCAAACCAATAGAATGAAGAGTCCCAAGAGCAAGCAAAAGAGTCAGAGCCATATTCACTTCTACTGTTAGGAATCCCACAAAAAACACCAAGCTTACAGCCATAACAAATACACAGAGATGCTGGGACAGGCCCCACACTTGCTGCTTCAGTCTCTGTGAGCCCATATGAGCCCTGCTTAGTTGATACAGTGAGGCATATTTTTCTAGCGTCCCCCATTCCCTCAGGCTCCTATAATCTTTCTTTTCCCTCTTCACTGGGTTCCCCAGACTCCAAGGGTGGGGGCCACATGGATACCTCCAATTTAGACTCTCCACATAATGTTTGGTTGTGGATCTCTGCACCCACCATTTGCTGATGATGAGTATAACTAAAAAGAAGTAGGAGTCATTTCATTGATTTTTTTTTTTTTTTTGGCCAGTCATGTTTGGAGCCAATCATGTTTGGAGCCAGTCATGTTTGGATCTATCTACCCTGGGTCTCTGGAATATCTAGTCTCCTATTCCTGGCCATCCAGGCAGTGAAGGACATGAGCTCTCTCTCTCATGGCATGGACATCTTATAGGCAGGACAGATTGTAGGTGGAAGGCTTTGTGGTTGGGTTGGTGTTCATGTTTGTCTTTCCATAGCTGTAGAAAGAGATTAGACTGTAGGGGTGAAGGCTCCATGCAGGCACCAGCTTGACCTCTCTGTGTTCAAAGAGCTGTGTCAGTGCTGTGTGTGTGTGTGTGTGTGTGTGTGTGTGTGTCTGCCATTACATCCTTTTGCATTTTATTTTAAGACAGTGTACCATTAAGTTGTCCAGGCTGATCCCAAACTTTAAGTCTCCTGCTTGAAAGTCCCAAGTAGCTGACTGCATGGGTGCACCACCATATCCAGTGTCTCAGGTTTTCTTTCTGCCTGTTTTCTCTTTCTTTGTTTGTTTTATATTGATTATTTTTTCTTTTATATTTCTTCCTTTTTTCTTTCTTTCTTTTCTTTTCTTTTCTTTTCTTTTTTTTTTTTTTTTTTTTTTTTGAAAATCAGAAAAGTTGTCACATTAAAAGAGGGACAGAGACCCAGTGACCCCTCAAGTCCATCTTAAGGAACCTGACATAGGGCAAATTAGTAGAGGACACCCATATCTAAGCAGTCCTGCCATTTGCTCTTGTTGGTTCTTCACTGGCGATAGGTCTTAAGTGTGCTTGTTCTTACTTTCCCTTCTCTTAGAGCATACTTGATATTTGCTATTTTTGTATATAGTTTCATATCAAGTCCAAATCTTTTTTTCAGACTAAAAGGAGAATTGTAATGTGATATCCACCCTGCCCACACCTGCAGCACTGACCACTGCTCATTTGTACTTTTGATGTTGGCCATTCTGACAGGTGTCAGATGGAATCTCAAAGTAGTTTTGATTTGCATTTCCCTGATGGCTAAGGATGTTGAACATTTCTTTGGTTCTTGGCCATTTGAGATTCCTCCATTGAAAATTCTCTGTTGAGATCTGTAACCCATTTTTTTAAATTGGTTTGTGTAGTTTATTGATGTCTGGTTTCTTTAGTTATTTATATATTTTAGATATTAGTACCCTGTTGGATATGGAGTTGGCAAAAAATCTTTTCCCATACTGTAGGATGCCATTTTGTCTGATTGACAGTATCCTTTGCCTTACAGAAGCTTTTCAGTTTCATGAGGTCCCATTTCTTGTTAATCTTAGTGT